AGTATTCTTTACAAGTTTATAGTCATCGTGGTTTGGGGCCTGCGAAAGGAATGGAGGATTGGCTTTCAGTTGCAGCTGCTTTGCTGGAGATGCAAAATGTGGATATCCTTGTCCCCGTTTGATGGTAAACGCATTAGGTGTTTACATCATTGAGGACCACGCTGCTGGGATTCAGACTTTAGATAACTCCAAACTCCAAAGTCCATGGGGAACCACTATACACTAATAGCCTCGCATTTTTTATTTGTTGAGCCTAAACAATAGCTGCTGGGGCCAAACTCAACTTCCTACGATGGATGTGACTGAGCGTGGTTCTCTTCTGTGTGTATGTGCGTCTGTGCGTGTTCTCAATGGTTAACCCTTGTACTGTCTTAGTTTTTAAAAAATTTTGGTAAAAGCAAATATGGCCTTCTTTTTTTTTTTTTTTTTGTAATAAAAAGGATTATATATTGAACAAACTTAAATTATAGGTACAAAATGAGGGAAGTAAATTCCCTTAATATCTGCATCTACTATATTTCTCAAGGCACGAGAGACACTATTATAACATGCAAAATTCATGTCTTGTTGAGTATCCAATTTCGCTAATCTGTTAGCACATTGGTTTGCTTCTCAATAAGCATGTCTAAGTGTGACTTTCGGCAGAGCAAAACTTAGAAACCTGCAATCAGAGATAATTGAAGCATACTCATGAGTTGAGTATCAGGAACCTGCAATCTGGCCTTCAATATATAGCATATGTGTAGTTTTAGTCTCTAAAATTTTGACAAGAGTAACTTTAGTCTCCAATACGTTCAATTTAAAGCAGATTTAGCACATTTGAAGAATTTTTTTCAATTATTAATAGAATTTAGCCACGTCTAATCACATGTCCGTTAAGTTAACTTTTAAAATAAAGAAACAAAATAGTAGCTGACTTTAAACAATAAGGACTAATAACTTATATGCTAATTAATTAACTAGCAAAAAAAAAAGAAAAATCGTAACCTAAAAAGCTAAAACTAGTCGGAGCAACCAATTTATTGATCTAGTACTTATTTTTACTTTCTACCCCACTATCTCCAAACAAAAAATTATAATTTTTATTTTTTTGTATAGATTTCCATTTTTGATTTCTTAGTTAATAAGTTACAAGCGTGCCATCACATGAATTATTCTTATTATTCAAGATTACTCACTATTTTATTATTTTTTTAAGGACGTTTAATTCAATAAATATAGAACTACGCATCCTTTCAATTGTCCTAAATTTGCTTCAAATCGATAACATCAAGGACCAGATTTGTTTTTGACAAAACGTTTGAACTAAAATTAAGTATTAAACATTTGAGATTAGATTTATTTTTGTCGAAACTTTAAAGACCAAAATTGCACGAGTGTCAAACAATGAGGATCAAAACTGTATTTCTCCGTGATTATAAAATGAAGCAATTCCCAGCTATTGGAACTGGAAGGGTTTATTACCTGTGTTAGTGACACACTCGATGGCTCAAAGTGAGTAAGGTTTAGCCTGCTGGGCCTTTTAGCGGTAGAGCCCGTCGTTTAGAGACTCGAAAAATTTCAACGGAAGCCCAAAAATAGGCCTATGATCCGACCCAGGGTGCCATTCGAAATTAAACAGCAGCGTCCTTCGTCGCTGCTCATTGTGATTTGTGTCACATAGAGCAGCAGCAAAATCTGAGACCTCAAAGAAAAACAGAAATGGCGACGGCGTCGTCTTGGGTGGCAAAGATTCTGAACCCAAAGAGCAATCCCTTGGCCGCTATGCACATGAAGGCCATCTCTACCCGCCTCCGCAAATACGGTTCGTTTCCTTCATATTCTTTGTTCTTTTTTTTTTTTGGGCTGGGTGTTGAATCAAATATCCATATAGTATTGCAATAGAATTAGAGGGAGTAACATTTTTGGGATGATTTCGTTTTTTTAATTTTTTTTTAAATTAACAATAAATAAATGGGGAAGATGGATTTGAATGATAGGGTTGAGGTATGACGACCTGTATGATCCGATGGAGGACATGGACATCAAAGAAGCATTGAGACGGCTTCCTCCAGAAGTTGTGGATGCTCGCAATCAGCGGCTTTTGCGGGCCATGGATCTCTCCATGAAGCATCAGTACCTTCCCGAACACCTCCAGGTCCCATCTACTTTCCTCTTCCCTTTCTTTTGTTTAATTTTTTTAGTTAAATTTAGATAATGAATTTTTCAGTTTATAATTTTTTCCGATCGTCGAAATAAGAACCTGTGTAAATGAAGATGCTTGTTGTTGGTAATGCAGGCACAGCAGACGCCATTCAGGAGCTATCTTAAAGATATGGTAGCTCTGGTACCTCCTCTCTCTCTCTCTCTAGGAAAATCAACTTCTGATTCCATTTCTGAATAGGTTTTTGAGATTAGTTCTTTCTCTCTAAGCAGGCGTTGTTAAGGCCTGAACCTGATATTCCTTTCAAGTTATTATTTTTTCTGCTTTAATTTCGATTTTTGTCTCGCGTTTGATTTGAGTAAAGCAGAAAAGAACTCCTATATTAGTTTACAGCCAAAATGGACATTCAAGATAGTATTCAAGTCATGTTGATGTTAAGTTTCAACTTTTCTTTCTTCTTTTTCATTTTTTTTTCCAGGAGTAGAAGGAGAATGAAGGTAGGCATTAGAACTCAGCATTCACCATCATATGATAGTCACAAGCTTAGTGCACTGTCATAGGTTTTGAGCTTTCTCAGTTTTTTATACTGCTGAGACAGCGAGCTGGACAATAAGGCCTGACTATCAAGACTGTTGTCCTCTTGTTTTTTAAAACCACCCGTTAGAGGGCAGGCTTGCACATCATGAACTGGTTCCTCCTTTCTTAGATGACTGTATATGGTGAAGAAGCCTCAACTGGTTATCGTTTTACAAGTAGATTTGAAAATGAAACCTTTTCACAAGGTTCTAACATAACTTAGGCATCCAAAAAACATTTTCCATGCATAGATCTGTGGGTCAATGTGAAACTTGTATTTCTTCTGTTGAAAGGCAAGTGTACTTGTATCCTATTTTTGTAACTAGAGAGGCCCTTCAAAAGAGGTTTTGTTTTGGGCAGAAATATCAACTAGTTCAAATGTGAATCAAGTTATTCAAGGTTGCTGGCCAGTGAGTAGTTACACGATAACTCGTCGAAGTTGTAGTCTTAGTTCCCTGTTTGTTGATTTTAATAGTTGCTGTGGAGTGCATTACAAGTATCAATGCCACCAGATTTGCTAATGTATAGTGGCAGCTTACTAACATGAATATCAGCTGTGTATGCGCACGGTGTATTTAGCGATATTTCAGTTTCATTCCTCATTAACTAATGAAAATGCTGAAATTTTTTTGTCTTTGGCAGGTAAAGAGGGAGAGGGCAGAGCGTGAAGCTTTGGGAGCTTTGCCTCTTTATCAGCGTACACTTCCCTAAGCTTGGTATTTCCTCAGGTCACGCAAGTTAGATGCTCTTAGAATTCGGTCTAGCGAATAATAGCTGTAACATTTCATGGGGAGGAAGACCTCCATGGAATGCAATTGATGGGATTTTGGATCCAATCGATGATTTTTCTGTTACAGCAGCAGAGTTTCTGAGCCTGCAGGCACATGTTTTTTGCCCTAATAAGTCTTCACGCAAATGCATATTGAAATTTTTGGCACGCAAACCGCAGCTGTGAACCTTGCATTTCCATTTTTCTTGGTCATCTTGTGCTATATAGTATTCATCAGGTTCTTGATAATGCTGATACTGCTTTGGACAAACTTGTTGGACTGCTTCCCGTGTTTGGGCTAACAATAAATAATACGTAAGGCTCATGGTCAATGCGTGAGTTTTGGTTGCTAATTGTATCACGGACGTCCTCCTGCTCAGCGTTTCGAGTGGTGTAACCCAATATTCCGGTGAATGTGCGGGATTGTAAAGAACAATAATTTTATTTTCTTCAAATCGAACTGGAAAGCCGCTTTCAGCAAACCACAAAAATTTTAAAATATCAGATCTCCCGGTTCAATCCTGTAGATGGTAGTTAATTTTCTACTGAGCCCATCGAAGATGCAAAATTTCTTTCATGTAGCGCGGCACGCACAAGCTATAAATTTATTTATTTTTTTTTTTTTGTGGGATCAATCTGTAATTCCCATTCTTAATTTTACACTAATCTATAGTAGGGGAGGGGTTTAACTAAGCACCTTTTCCGTTCGGCCATGAAAGTGTCCACTTTCCAGAACAGAGTTGAATTCAAAGTCATTGCGCATCGCGTTGTGCTAATGAAAAAGCGGAGGTAGAATAATGAAGTCCGATTTCAAGGCCCATAGGAGAAGTCCAGATTCTGAATAAATCGTTTCTTGATCCAATTATTGCCAGCCATGGAGACCAGCGGCAACGGCATCAACAGAGACAAAGATGTCGAAGTCTCGTGCTGCCCAGCCAGCGGAATATGCCATTCAACACATGGATCATTTTTTCCCTCAACCCCCGTGTCCCATAACGTCAATATTGTACACTTTCTCTAAAACTATTCAACCCCCGTTTTGGAACGCCCCGGTATCTGACAAAGTCGGCAAAGCGAGGTTCGTCGACAGCGACACGTGCCGTCCTCCTCTCTCCAATCTCCATGCCATGCCCATTCACCCCTACAAAATGCCAACAAGAAGGAAACCTTCCGCCTCTCCTCCCGGACCACACTGTTCCGTTTCAAATTTTACAAACGTGGCCGTGTCAGCAACCTCATCATCTTTGTCACAGCTTTTGCACGTTAACACCACCTTTCTTCGAAACTCCATTTCAACAAAGGAAAAACTGCAGCCAAAAGACGAAAAATTGTCATATTCATTAATTAAGCAATATGCGCCAGTGATTAGGCTAAATCATTTCGGCTCAATTTTTAATCATTGAACGACAGCAGGGAGAACCTAAATCCAAATGGAATCGAGCAATAATAATATTTTATAATCGAAGAAAAGGGGGAATGGATATGGCTGGACAGACGTTAGTAATAGGTACCGACTACCGATGGATGAGGCTAGATGACATGAATCATTACCAAATGGATCTCCTGAAAAGAGGGATACCCTAATTCTTTAGCCAGCTCCACCCTTCCAGAATCCCAATTTCCGCTATCTGTCCGGCCAAACCAAGGGCAGTTTCGTCCTATTCACTATTCAGTCCTCCGGAGTACCGGCACAAACGGTTAAAACTTATGCATAAAGTAAGAGTCAGACGGTCAAACCCTCGCTCCAGCGTTACTCGTCACCTCCACGTGTGCATCTTATCCAATCCACCCCTTTATATACCATCTCCTATCTCCGACACTCCTCCGTAACCACTTTGGCCCCTAAAAGTTTCCTTAGCCTTAAAACACACACAATCGCCCCCTTCAAAAAACGCACACAACTCCTCTGTCTCTCTACAAATACTTACACAATTTCCACTCCGCTGATACGTACCACATCTCTGGTCCAGTGATCTAAATGGCGACTACTATGTTACCGATCAGCGCAGTCGGAGTGAGAGCCTGTGCGAGTACCGGCCCCCGGAAAGCTGACGTAAATAACCGGAAGAGTTCATCTTCCAACTGGTGGTCCCCAATCTTCGGCTGGTCTGCTGAGCCGGACTACATTGACACTGATAACAAGAGAGGTGATTTATCATCTATTAGTAAAAAGTCGGAGCCGGATCAGGATCCTAAGCCGGTGGCAAAATCTCGGTTTGCTCCTGGTTCGTTCACGGCGGAAAAGGCCAGGCAGCTCCGGATGATGACGACTGGGTCGTCTACGTTTCATGACGTCATGTACCACTCTGCCATCGCCTCCAGACTCGCCTCCGATTTCTCCGGCCGCTCCGAACTATAAATCGCCTGCACAACAGCTATAAATAATTTAGAAATCTGTTGGCGTTTAGGTGGAAGTCGTAGTTAATTTTTTTTTATTTTCTTTTTCCTAATCTTATTTTTATTAATTGAACAAAATGTGAAGGCCTTAAGATCAGACGGTAATGATGTAGATTATCATGTATTGTTGCATGATAATGTAGATCTGATGATGGATAAGCATGTAGTACTTAAGTATCTCTCTCTTTTTTATTGTTGCTTAAGTCAATGCTTATTACACTACTGTATCATTACATATGTAAATGCTTGTATGACGTGGAGAAGTCGATGATTGGATTAAATTATTTTGGATGAAGATCAGATGATTCATCACTCTATTATTTAGTTTATTGACAACTGATGATGCGATGCTTGGCCAAACAAATCACGGATTAGTGTCCTCAACTTCATATTTTCTTGATCAACAAATCACGGATGGTTGGTTCCGCTGTATGGGCAGCAATTGCAAGCAAGAACGATGCAGGAGTTAATATGTGGGGTAGATAATTCTGCCGAGGTTTGAATGGGTAGAAGCCCGATGCAGTCCAGTACGAGTTAATCGAACTGTTTTTAGCCAAGGCCTCAGGGAGTCTGTTTGACGACATTTTTTTACTTTTTCGTTGCTTTTCCATCCAAGTGGGGTTCACATTCTGATTTGACGATTTTGTTTACTTCTGAGTTCTGATACCTTTTCATTCAAAGTGGATGGCATATTCCGGAGTACACTTCTGATTCTGTGTGCTCTGAACCTGTGGACGATGGATGGTGTATAGATATTTCCTCCTAGAAAAATAGGAGACAGGGAAAGACTCGGAGCCAAGTCCCGGACATCAAAATATCGTCGAGCATATAAATGAAAAAAGAAGAATATGCTCTCCATGTGACTGATTCAGTCTATACTCAGAAAAAAAAAAAAAAAGTAATTATGAGAAAGGGTGGCAAAAGAATATTCAAGGAAACTATTTCAGAATAAAAATTAAAATATGGTGCTTCACTTGCCTCTTTCCTGTGTACTCCGTGTGTTTTACTTTTACCCATTGAAGGTACAACTTCGAGTCAACCATTGGCCACCAAGGAGGGACACCAAGGAGGGACAGGGAAAGGGAAAGACTGGGAGCCAAGTCCCGGACTATAAATCCCTCCGGACATTAAGACCCGCCTGGACTGTGGATAGGAATTTAAATTTCACTCGCAGTGAAAAAAATTCAAAAAAAATTAAAAGAGGATGTCAAAACACCGTTTTGATCCAATAAAAATTCAAGTCAATTGATCAGTTATCTTGCTCATTCGCTGTAACATGCAGAAGATTGACCTTTTCATTCCTGTGAAACAAAATAGGCCTTTTGCAATGCAACCTACAGTCAATATTGGGTTCATGCTTGACTAGCCAAATAGACAAATGACCCTGCATTTTTTTTCTCTCCCATATTTTTATTTGCATAAGTATTTCACCTTTACGATAAAATTTATGAAGATTGGTTTTATATTGTACAAAGAAATACACTATCTAATTCACCAATTCATGGGAACAAACTGAAGTTTTGTATTTGAAAAATGTTTCAATGAGCATATAAAAAATAGCCAGAGAGAGAGAGAGAGAGATTGAAGCGGCACGGTGAGTGGAACTCCATAATTTTCCATTAGCTTGGGGCATTGCCTATGAATTGGTGTAACAAAAGAGTCCGTTGAATCTCTAGCAGTCGATTCATTGCTTTATTGAAACCGTTTGAAGGCTTGAAGCTAATATGGAAGAGATAATAATGGCAAACAACGGTGAAAAATCAAACCCTAGATTGTCAGCAATACATCATGTTGTTCCAAGATATTAGAGCTGCATGTCATTTGCAAAATGGTGGCTACGTTGCTTCCAAAATGCAGACCTCGCACTGCATTTTGTTGATTCACTTGCTCTCAGCATCATATATATCTGTTCTGGATACGTCGATTAAGGAAAACATGAGAATGTCCAAGAACCATAAAAATCCAATGCTTTCAATTCCCAAAAATTTCAAGCGTTGAAGCATTCATGATGATTGCATCACTTTGGCATCTAATTCAATATCTCCGTCCACCCACACAAAATAAATTAAAAAAAGGAAGAAAGGAAAGGGCAGTGTGGGAACAGTCAAGGCATTCTATAAGGCTTGCAGATCACACAATTATTCCAGAAGTAGCAGAAATAGCCATAATTCTGGTGAACAGTAGAGATAGGAAAGAGGGGAACAATAACAAACTAAATCAAGTGCAAGTGAGCGTCATGTGCAGAATGAACTCAAGAAGTAGTGGTGTCTGATCACCTATATTCCAGAAGCCCCACGAATGCAGGATGCAATGATTATTAAACTTGATAAGGAAGAGTTTATAAGTAACTCATAGAGTGCCTCCTAAATCCTAACGAAAGTCCAAATTCTACTTGTGTTTTAATTGTGATTATATAAATTTCAAAATGAATACCATGAACCAAGACAGGCTGCATCTAAGCACAGTCTTTACAGGTGCTCATCCAGATTGCAACAGCAAATGTACTAATTAATCAAATGAACAACATCCGTTGTTCTCAAAGACTTCAATTCTACTGGCTTACTGATGCAAACATCCCAAACTCCTCAGTATTTTTTTTTTTTTTTTTGGGTGAAAAAGATAGGTAAACAGTAAAACTTTTTCTGTGTGGTCATGATACATAGAAAAGCAAAAGTTCAAGTTGCAAAATCTCCCAGTTTAATTGTTTTCCTAGTTGCAGGTAGGATCTATAAAAATTTGGTGAACCAGCAGCCACAAAGTCTGATCTTACATTAGCATAATGGCATATCTCCTGTACTAAAATTCTAATCTAAATGCCAAACCAATATTTTAGGTTCACCATACATATATTTTATAAACAATACCTTTAAACAAAGACAGCAACACAGACAAAGTGTGAAACTAATCCCAGTGGTTCAACTGTTGCATTTGGCTTGCAAATTGCCCCCAGCAACAACACAAGGCAGCTAATCGGATACGGTGAATTTAAGACCAAATCATCTACCTTAGCAAAGAATAACAACACCTGTTTCATTTTTCTTCTTCTCTGAAACAGAGAATGGAAGAAGAAACTAGTTAAACAATACGACGGTCAAAATGCTAAAACATGCAGCGACCTAGTATTCCTTCATTTTCACGCATGTGATCTCCCAGTCACTACTTCCTGACTGACTATCAACAATTTCGTCAATTGACTATTGTTATAAACTTTTATTCTGTATTTCTTTTCCTTGATGAGTGAATATTCAGTTTACCATGTCATTTTCTAGTCGCAACTATATCCTTGACCATGTGCCCTACACATATGCTGTTCTAAGTTCATTGCCATCTGAATTCAACTTCAGGCCCCAACTTAAGTAGATGGTCCTCTAAATCACTCGTTACAAGCACGGCAGCTTTCCTCTTGCAAATCATATTCCAATACCAGGGATTATCATCCATTATAGACACTGCAAATATTTAGACAATTTTTCTCCAACGAACTAACTTCCCCATATTATTCCTATGAATTTTCTTTAAGAAAAAAAATTCCTAAATAAATCTAAGTTTTAAATCAAATGAGTAATTTTTGAAATAAAGTTTTAAAAAAAAATTGTCTGAGAATCGAATGAACCTGTAATTACCAATTTTACTTATGAATAATGAGATCAATCACTGAGCTACATTACGCCCATTGGAATTGATAGTTATCATAGGAAACACAAAAGGTTAAGGACACAAAAAAAGGAGGTGCTAATGTAAGAAAAAGAATCGAAGGATACACCAAATAAAAGCCATGAGCAAATGCACCAGCCAAAACAGCAGTGAACAAACGATCCCTCAGAACTGGCCTATGCCGCAACGTTAGCCGAACTGACAACAAGAAGCAAAATAACATAAAAGCAACAATCCTATTAGAACATTGACAGCATTAATCCCATGTAGTAATCCAATCTCAATAAAACAAAGAAGAAAAATTCTGGTAACGAGAGGCGTACAAAGCAACGAACTTACTAAGTGGAAGAACAGGAGCGTAGATTAGAGGTACCAAGAACTTAAAAGGGGGTCCTTTATTTTGCCTTCTAACCACTTCCCTTCAACAACAGAATCTATTCAATTCAGAATAACTGATGAAATTTAAATTACTCTAAGATGTCATTTGCAAGGGAAAAAAAATGGAGATCAACGGGGTTGGGATCAAATCAATCAAAATCGTATCCAGAAAGAAATAGAGACAGATCAAAAGGCTTACTGGTTTGCTGTATTCGACGGGGTGGCCATGGCTGTTAAGCTTGAGACTTTTTTTTTTTTGACAAAACCAACAGCTGAATTAAATCTTAGGACTAACCTTTTCCTCCGATGGCAGAGGATGCATCAGCGATAAAAAGCAAGGAAATTCTATACACTGTAGGTGCTAATACTTGTACTTTCTTCGTATTGGATATCGGGATTTTCCCTATTTTTAAGGTGGCTTGAAATTTTAATGGCTTTCTGTCTCCTCTCCTCTTTTCTCTTTTCTTTTTCTTTCCTTTCCCCCACAATTCACTTTTTCGTTTCCTGCGTGTCTTAAAATGGGCCGGGCTTTTGGCAACGTTGGCGTGCGCTGGATCTATTGGCTTGACAAATTGAACGATGCGTCACGTATGTATTCATTTTTGGAAATTGTTTATACATACAAAAAGAGATACATGTGTAATATAGTGTAAAATGAATATGTAGAGAGGGACTGTACCATTTGGATCATGAGGTATACATAAGCGAATCTACAACATCAATCGTGTGAGGGAACTAAAGAATGCAGCAAAGTTTGGATTGGTAGGGCTGCACACGAATCAAGCCACTCGCGAGCGGCTCAAGTCAAGCTCGAATTGAGCTCGATCAATATCGAACTCGAGTCGAAATTAAATTCGAACTCGAGTTCAAAATATTAAACTCGTCGCGAGCTCGAGTATATATATATATATATATAATATTTTTTATTTTTTTATTTTAAGTATATATATATTTTTTATTTTAAATATATATATATTTTTTATTTTCTTATTTTAATTGTAAAATTATATATATATCATTAATATTTTATTATTTATTAAAAAATATTATTTTATTTATTTTTTTTAAAATAAAATAATTATTTTTTTATTTTTTCGAGCTCAAACTTTAAATTGCCGCTCGTTGAGCTCGAGTTTGGTAAAATTTAGTCGAAACTCAGCTCGATTAACCCAAAACTCGACTCGTTTGTAGTCCTAGTTGAGTACACTCTCTTTTTTTTTTTAATTAATGTTTCTTATCCAAAACAATGTAGATACACCTAAAACTATTTATCAAAGCAGTATAAATTTTTGTTTTGCATATATATCATGTATTTAAACCCTCTAATGTTATGTGTCTACAAGCGAAGGATACATTAATGTTTATGTTAACAAGGTAAACACAATTCAATGTGCTTGGATAGTGATTATTTGGGATAAGCTTTTCAAAAAAAAAAAATTGTAACATTTTTTTGATGCGATGTATGTGGGATAAAAAAGTGATTGAAAAACATGTTGAGAACATGAACAAGTAAAATCGTGCAAGCAATTCACTGTCCAAACAAGAGTACAAGACCAATGATTTTTAGGTCGAGAATTCATGGAAGCCCAATAAAGCCCAGCAGCTTGGCCCAACCAATGTCCATGACATGCAGAACATGGTTGTGGGGTCCGGGAGATGGACAAGCCCGGTAGCTTTAAAAAATGGAAAAATAAGAGGGGATAAAAGATTCAAAGTACAGGTGGACTGCCGACTCGACGAACAGACAAACGGGAGAATTGACGAATGTGAAGGCACGAAATAGTTTGCAATTCTTTCCAACCAAAAAGCGAGGTGCTACTGGTATCTTCTGGAAGAGTTAATTAGTAAAAGAGTATCTGCCGCCGC